TTACATTAACAAAAACCCAACATATTTTCAACTGTTTGGAGTTTTACAGTAATAAATTCTGTTGATATTAATTGGTAATCTTAAATACAGGTGTTGCAAAACCCTAAAACGTTTAGTTGGGAATATAGTATAAAACAACAATGCTTCTTAAAATATTTCTTTCTTTCATTCTCCTGAGATAAACCACCTTCACAGCTACAGGTTCATGCAAATCAAATCACAGAACACCCCTTGGGCCTGTGTCCTTTAGAAACAATTCCCTTTATGCGTATGATCGTCCATCCCACAATAAATAATAAAAGCCATAAATCAACCTGTCTGCTTGTCAGGATAAATGGCACATCCCCCATGAAGCAGTGATAACGCAGATACAGGTGGTGCTGGGTTCATCCCATTGTCTGGAAATAGGGCTGGTGTCACCAGCAGATGGGGTTTCTCTGTTGGAGCACCGAGACAAACGTTTACAACAAAATGACTGATTGGTGATCTTTTAAGGATAAGATTCCTCCTTAAGGTTTTAAATAGAAAGAATACCTCCTTGAAGAGTAGAGTTGTTAGAGCTTCTTGGTTGTTAATTACACTTACAGGCTGGTTTGCTGATTAACGCTCAGTTTCCCTGTAGATGAGAGTGTTCCCATCACGCTGAGATTGCTGCAGCCTCTTGTTAACCTTCATTGTTTGAAACAACCCCATAGCTCACCTTCAAGCACACTTATCAGCCTCTTTGTCCCAGAGCTCTCTCACTATCAACAATTATGCGTCTGTTAGGGGTGTGTGTGTGTGTGTGTGTGTGTACTGTAGGTGTGTGTGTATCTCTGTCCATCTCACCGGCTGTGAGGTTAGCAAAAGCACTTCAATATCCTCTCACTCTAACCTGATTATTAATTACAGTGCGCCTCAAGCTGACCGCAGCCCAAACACCGTCTGGCACAGTTTCCAAGGAGACCGACACAAAGTCATTCCCAAACAGGAATCATCTAAAAAAAGAAAAAAATAGACTTAAGCACCTTGGTAATCCAGTAGTTTCTCAACTTCTGACTCTTGTTATGTTTATTAACAGCGACACTCAAACAATTTTAATCACCATTCATGCCGATCAAAACTTATTCAAGCATGTCACATGTGAGTATAACGCATTAACGCCTGGCTGATGCTTCTAACTAGCTTGGCATTGTGTGAAAATCTTCATAACTTGCTAAGAAGTCAAGATGAAGCCCATCATCTGGAAGCAACATTAAGTTGATCAAAGTGATGGTGAGCCAGAGAGTCAGTTATGCCTGAGCAGAGCAGCACTCAGCTGTAATGAACCTGGAGCCGTGCCTGCAGCGAAGCTGAGGGACATCAAGCTTTGAATGGGCTCCTGGCAGTCAGCTGTATTTGTTTGAGTGTGTGTTAGTAACACACTTGTGTTAAGATGGAGGGTAGGTTAAGTACTTTCCTGCAGCAAAATATGGTTTCTAATGCTACACAAGTGAGTTATTTTAGAAGTTGCCAAACTGAGATGTGAAGCATTAGAGCGACACAATTTACCAAATGCTCTCATGGTGATGCTCTCCATATTTTGTTTATTTTCCATTGATGCAATGGTATACCAAAGATCAAGGTTTAAGAAACATTCTATAAAAATTATTTTAAGGAATAACTTAATCTTTATTGTTTGGTATTTGGATGTTTTTTTTTCTGGCTCCACCTGAGAACAGTGTTCTACAAAACAAGCAAGGGAACAAACCAAAAACAATTGATTCAGATTTATATTTACTGCATGTTACAACAGTCAGGCATTACCAGGCCCTTGCTTTGAGTGCGTTGAGTACATCTGGAATGTGGCCACAGGACATCTCCAATCTCTCACCCCTCTGAAGTGATTTTGTCGTCTCCTCATTACCAGCTTCTCCTCCAGGTAACTGAGTAGAGTATGTTTCTTTGACATGTTTTCATCACCTGGGATTTTTAATTTTTAGGTTTTCTTTTTTAGAGCAGAACACTTAGGTGGCCTATTCCCTGATCTGACTTTAAAGTAACCACAGCACCCAGTTAACTGTTATGGGGTAATGCTGTTCTCTTTGTACATTTTTGGTTGACTGGATGAGGAACAAAGTTTTTGTGAGGTCTGAAAAGGTTACAGCCTTAATTTAGAGCTTAGAAATTAGGTCCACAAGTAATTTACCAGTTTCCTCCATCCATGTTTATTAAAAATCAACTTATAGGATTTGTTTAGTAGAGGATTTGTAGCATTCTTCAGCACTTTTCTGACATATGAAATAGAGAAAGGTTGGAACTACATTTCAAGCATTTATAAGAATAATCTAGGAATTCCCTAAATTTGTTGCTCGATTCATTATGTAAGCTATTGTGTATTTTCCTATGTGGTTGTGAAGTAGTTTGGTCGAGGTGAACCAAAAAAAAAAAACGACTTTAGCCACCGGTTCCAGTTTCTCAAGCTTCCAAGAGCTCAGGGCTTATATAATCAAGTGGCAACACACCTGCACTTGAGTGGACAAAGCCTCAATTAAACAGGTAAAAAAAAAACAAAAAAAAAAAAGTCTAAACAGAGAAACAGGAATAAACGTAATCTAATTTACAAACTCATCAACATAAAGAAAGATTCTGCAAAATAAACAGTGTGAAACAAGATAACTCAAAAAGTTACTTTAAAGAAAAACAAACAAAGCATAACTCAAAAGGAAACCCTCTAAATGGTAGAACCCAGCAAAGTAATGGATGACATCATTTAGTCACTTTAGTAAGAAATACAATGGTGAGTAAAAAGGAAAACAAAAGCCATGAATATACTTTGAAACATAATAAACAATTTCATCCAATAATCCAGAAGTAATAGCTTTAACCTAAACAAAAGTAGATGGAAACTGCAACATAATGCTAACACAAACCAACCCGGGATAGTAAGTGAAAGTCAAAGTTGCAAACTAATGTTTAAATTTAAGCATTAAAAAGATTCAGAAGAATGAAAAAGGGACAAGTGGTAAACACAAACTAAACCACTTTGTCATAGTGGTCTTCTGCTTCCTTATCAGATTCCCCTATAACTCTCTAGCCTGTCTAAGAAACCGCCGCTAGTGATGCAGTGAGGAAGACAATTGCCCTCTTTCCAGAAACAGCAATGAAAACCTGCAGCTTATCTTGTCAGGAAGCAAGATGGCATTGTCTCAAGGTCGCCTCAGATGGCGACACAACCAAGATTCATACAAGAAACTAGCAGGAATAAATCCCAATATGCTTAAGAGCAGGACAGTAAATCAAACCCCCTCATCAGTTGTTTAATCAAGACTCCTCTCACCTGGCAGGAAGTGGATAATGAGGGTCAACTTAGGGAGGCTGTTCTAATTACCCAGGGATGGCTCTAAACTTAACCATGTGTTCATAGTCACACAACATTTTCTAGTTGTTGGAACTTACTGTTCTGTAAGAGGCTGATGATCCGTTTATGATCATGGAGGTGTCCTAAGAAGGACACTTACCCAAAGCACCGCTGGGTGAAGATCAAACAGGAAGATTACAGCCTGTATCTTTATAAGGAAATGTACTCTGTACTGACAGAGCTAAAGTTAGGCAATCTAAAGTGGAAAAGCACAGAGGTCACGTGCCAACCCCCCCAAAAAAAACTTTCTTAAAAACATCATTAGGTTAGACACCTGTAAAATCAGACCTTTAAAGGCAGATTCTTTGTATTGCATCTAAATAAACTCTAGAACATATGTTTCTATAGACAAACATCCACTCTCTCATCTCAGAGATATATAGATTCTTTCATATTTCTAAACCATTATTTTATGTTTTACTCAGAATTATTAATCACATCTATGCCTCTATTGCAATTTAGAAACACTGACAAAAATGTACTGTTTCATTTTATAGTTGAACTCACAGACGGTGAAGGAGAATGTAGAATTTGCACAAACAGACTGCTTTAGCTAACATGTTCCCTTGTGTTTTAACATGACAGCTGGTGTGGGTGGCTGAGTGGGAGCTGAGGGGTAAATGAGATCTCCTCTTTAATCAGAAGGATTAAATGCTATAAACTGAGGTTCCTAACCCTGATCTATAAAGTGGGAGGGATACTTGAGGAAGGAGGGCTAATGGAGTCCCACAGCTCACTGGCTGTAATTTACTGCTGAAAGTTGGGGGTGGTCCTAATTGGTGGTGGATCCAGACTTTTTTTTATTGGAGTGGGGGTGGAAGGGTAGGTTGAGATGATTACTCAGTGGAACAAGTAATACAAAAACATGTGGAACAACTTTTTCACATTTTGTCTAAACAGAAATTAACAAACATTTTAAGAACATGAATAAAACATTTAACAAAAGTAAGAAACTAAATTTATTTCTTCGGTCGTTTAGGGGGCAGCATTACCCTTAAAGTGGGTTTGCTGTCACACAGACAGGAATAGTGAGTTGCAGCTAGTAAGCAGATCTATGCATCTTAATAGAAGAAGAAACTTGCATTAAATTCCTGCAACAATGAACTCAGGACAAGAAAGCTTTCAAGGCTATGAAAGTTTTTAAAACCCAGGTGTGAAACATCTACAAAAAAAAAAAAAAAAATACAGTAGAATCTAAATTGCAATGTTGGGTGAAAATAATCACAATTTAGATTTTTGGCCCTAATACAGCATGTTGGTTGAACTAATTTGGATAATTTCCTTGCCCTATTTTGTCACAAAACTGCAAAAAGCAAGATAATGAAATGTATATCATATAAACATAATGTTATTACTGTAGTAATTGAGAAGAAAATTGATAAATGTGTAATTTAAATTATGCATTCAAAAAGTTCATTTTCTTTCATATATCAGTTATTTATATAGATATAAAAATGAGCAGATAATGTTTTAAAGTAGATTAGTTTGAAATCAGCTGCATGGTGGAGGTCTGTGCTCTCCAAGTGCTTTCTAGTTTTATCTGGATTCATGTACATCTCTTCTTTGTTAAGACCTGTAAAGTAAAAATTGTTCATAAAATATAATAAGACAAAAAGTAAGATAAGTGGAAAGAAACTGTTTATTATTGCCACCAACAAACACTTTTTTTTATCTACAGTAGTCATGCTGTAGTTTGTGGTTTACGTCTTTGTCTTTTTTGCCTGTCAGTGTCTGTCAGCGGCCTTTTGCTCCTCCTGGCACATTTCCTCAAACCAACCTTTTTATTTTTGCAAAACAATCCCATCCACTTAGGCTGATTGTTAGATTTTGCAAACGTGGCCCCAGAACTTTACCCCAAGCATAAGCACACAGTTTTGTGTGGATCCATTTATTCCCCAAGAATCTGGGCATCAGTGTCATTATCCAGTCCTTGTCCTGGTCAAGCTTTCGTCCTTAGCTGCCATTGCTTGGTTCTTGGTATGTTCTTTTGAGTAAAAACAGTTTTTTCTCTCCCTGTTTTCATTTTTAGCTTCCATCCACATGTTCTCTAAGAGCTTTTGTCCTTTTTGGTCTTCTTGGTGAGGTAGTTTTGATAGTAAAAGTTACTGAAGAGAGCAATTAGGCTGAGAGAATAGGCCAAGACAACCGCATTCATGGAGTCAGGAAAGTCGCAGTCAGCAAGCAGGTTGTAGGTAGTGTGCATGGTGACTATGAGGAACTGCAACTGATCAGACACACAAGGAAATGGAAAATAGCTTTATTTTAAATGTTTATAGAACGATAACATAGCTACAGATATATATTCATTATTGAACGTGGTCAGGGAATAAATCATATGTAACCAGTTAACCTAAAAGTAGCAATGAATGTTACCCTGTTATAATACCTAATTGTAATGTTCATATGAAGTTAAGTAAAAAAAACAACAGATAAAGATAACTTCATTTTTAAAACTCCTAGTTTGATTTATTTGTCTGTTAAACTTTCTTAATATTTCCTTTTTAAATATTATCATATCTTTTTTAGATTATTTTCTTTTTATTTGCAGTGAAAGGTTATTACCAGTTATAGTTCTCCTACCTGTAGTAGAAAGAAGTTATATCACAGTGAGTTTGTAGAAATGTAAATGTAGATTCCATACTCAGGGAATGCTAAACATTTGGACAAATGAAACCCTAGAATTTGATTAAATATATCAATTTAAACTGACCCTAAAAATGTTGATATACAGACCAAAAAAATTCCCCACAGTGTCCTGCAAACAAGATGTTTAATATCTAAGAACATTTGGTTGTCCCCCACAGACATCTTATAGTGTGTTAGCCTTCCACTGCTATGAGGATTTTATTTTACTTTACAATAAAATGACTGTGATATGATATCAGGAAATAGCAGTGATAACAGAACCCCACCTCTTCAAGATCATCATTTCCTCTTCCAAAGCACTGATTAAATATGATTGGCTGAATGGGATCTTCATTTTCAAAGCCGTTACGCAACCAAAGATTTTCTGTATATAATGTAATCAGTAACTTATCTGTAAATCCTTGAATCTATTTTTTTATTATTACTAGTTCTGATGTGCAAACATCATGCAATAAAAAACATACCAATTCAAAACCTCACATGGCTGCACTTGGTCTTCATATGTTCAATGATACAGATATCTATACTTACCAGCTGCAGGGAGGTGAGGTATTGTTTCCACCACAGGTACTTTTTCATGTGCGGTCCTAGTGCTGCGAGCCCGTAGTACAAATACATTACTATGTGGACCAGAGAGTTGATCAGACCAATCAGGAAAGCTACAGAGAGATACACAACATGCATTATATAATCATCATCCGGTATGTTCTGTTACTGTCATAATGCTTTCTGCTGAAACACACTATGTGGATGTATAGTATTCAGTTTGTTACACAAGGTGAGGTGTACTTACACTGACCCCCGGCGACATATTTAACTCCAGCCCACCAATTGAAGATCATGGTAGCATGGTGGTAGACATGAAGGAACGTCAGCTGAATATTTTTCTTCCGCAGAATAAAAAATATCTGAATCACACAAACATACACCAATTAAAGCATAACCAAAGCTTTTGTATAATTAAAATATAGTATTGTTTATATTTTTCAATGCAAGTACACATCTAACTTCAGCAGAATTTTATTTAAAAAATGGCTTCAAAGTTAAGAGCAACGGATAGATGCATCTGTGCATAAAGATGTCTGCTGCCCTTCTACAGTTATCTCTCAGGGAAGTTTCTTCCTGTTTTATATATTTTCTATTTATCAAACTTAACACCGTCAGTGAGGTTTTCATTCTCACACACAAATCTACAGCAGATTCAGAGAGAAGAAAAGCTGCTTTAAAATTCTGGACCACTAAAGTGACTATTTAAAGAAAATGACTGACTTAAAAACAAAAGTTATACTATTTATATTAGGATTTGATGTGGTTCTATGTGTTGACCAGTGGAGGGCCCACTTTCTTCATCTGGAATTAGTAAGGAAATCAGTAACATTAAGCTAAAACAGACATACAGCCCAATTTTAGAGATACTATGTTTAAAACCAGCACCTTATCATTTTTACTGAATACAGCACCAGTGTAAATAAGTAACCATGAATATAAACATAGTTTATTTGTGAAATTAATCTCTGTTTGGTCTGTTTTAACTTAAAAACTAAGCACTGTTTTCTAATTTCCTCTGTACTCACGGTGTCGCTGAGCTCTATGACTTTAGAGAAGTAAAACCACCAGCAGACTCTGGCCATCTGTCCAAAATACACAAACATATACATACAATTACTTTAGCATGCATATTTAACATGTTTAACTAATTTAGTTAATGCTGGTCAATTTTCAGTCTTTTTTTTTTTTTAGCTTTTTTGGAATACTTTTATCTAAATAGTTTCATTTAAACAATTAGTTATCAGTAAGGTTAAAAAGAAACAAAGCTTTGGTTAACTGCAGTACACTTTTAGCCACATAAGAGTATTTAAACAACTAAACCTATATAGTATCTAAAGTCAAAGAGAATGAAATTTGTATTTTGATTAGTGGGATTTATGTATAAGCACATTGAGTATAAAACAAATACATTTTTTGTCAAGGGGTGCAAGAGGGACAGTTGTTACTACTGTTGAGGAGTCCCAGCTGATGCACTGTTTGCATGCAGTTTTCCTATTTATATGTTTGTTCCTGTCATTACTCCTTTTTCCTTATAAAATCCTAAAATACAGAAGTTCACACTGAAATTGGGACATATTTCTCTACAGTATGCAGGATAATAATACTGAACCTGAAAGAAAATAGAGTCAGGAAGGCAACAGAGGGAGAGAGGAATTAAGGACAAAATAATGAAAAAATGACAATGACAAAAATGTAAGGATTAAACATGAAAGACATGAAAGAAAAAGAAAAAGTGGAAAAAAGAAACAACGAAGGACTGGAAGGAATAAAGGAAGAATGATATAAGATGCTAGGGTAAACATGTGGAAGGAAAGAAAGCAAGGAAGACCTGAGAGACAAAAGGATAAGAGGAAGAACAGTAGAAAAATGAAGGAAACAAAGAGGGAAAGAGCAAAAAACGGAGGAAGAAATGAAGAATGAAGGAAACAACAAAGGAAGGAATTGAAAACTGAATGACTTAATGAAGCTAGGGTAAAAGTATACAAGAAAGAAAGGTGGAAGGAAGAAAAGATGCAAGCATGGAAAGAAGATAAAAGGTATCAATAAAGACAAAGCGACATGGGGAAGATAACAAAAGGTAAGCAAACAATAAACAGAAAAAGGCAAAGAAAAGTGAGAGGAAGGATAACCTGGGAGGAAAGAATTAAATACACAGTGAAACAGGAGACCATAGGTAGGAAAAAAATCAGAAATAATGGAAGAAACAAAACATGATGAAAGGTTCACACAGGAAGAATGGAGGACATAAGAAAAGGAAGAAGAGACACATGGAGACAAAGAACAAAATGCAAGTAGGAGCTTTAAATGGAAAGAATTATGTAAAAAGGGACACAAGGAGAAAAGATTAGGCAGAATAACAAAACAAGGGTACAGGATGACAGAGTGGATATATTGGGCTAAGGAAGAAAGGAAGGATACAAGGAAGAAAGAAATTACCCAATTTTACGGCGGCGGGTTGAAGAATAAACTATGGAAGTATACCGACTTGGGAAAATCATACTGAAATCATATTCCATAAGTTTGGACTTTGATCTCCCTGTTCATTGACTTGAGTTTGAAGCATATTTGCTTCTCTTGATGTTAGATTAAAACCATCTCAAAAGTATTTTAATTTTCTCCTGATAAATAAAACACTTAAACTGATAGAATGTGTTACTAGGGATGGAAGTGATGCAAAGAAATATATACAAATGGAGATAAAAACATAATATTAGACAAAATCCTTAAAATTAAACTGTTTTAATGGCTTAAAAAAAAACACATAAAAAAAAACATTACCCGTAGAGCCAATGGGCTGTTGGTGTAGTCAACTGGTTGGCACAGCAAACTGTATCTGGCCAACCAAGAAGATGCAGTGAACTAGAAAAATGTAACATCAATATTAGTGGAATCTCATTACTTTAAACACTAGTTGATTTCCCTTGTTCCTGTGTACCTCAGTTTACCTCATAGAACATATAGACGGAGAGACAGACCATGGCAAAATTGTAAACAATAAGGACAGGTTTGAGGTTGACGGGCTGTCTGTTCGCCATCAGCTTTGGTCCGACCCATATAATGATCAGGTAGCACAAAAATATACAAGTAATTGGCACAGGAGAGTAGACCAGAAGCCAGTTGTCTGTCCTTTTGTCTGTGCAGGAAAATACAAGAAAAATAGCACAGTTAAACAACAAAGAATACAGCAAAGTAATGCAGTTATTTTATAAGCGATGAGCTAATAATACAATCTTGCCTCCATTTTCCAGGATGCTTTGGTAGAATAATTGGACTTTCTGCCACTTGGTGACAACATTGCTACCCTGCAATAGACACATGAGTACAAGTTTTAAAGTACCACACTATTGGGAAGCACTTCATATACTTCATTTAAGCCTGGACACAGCATCCCCACTCTAAAACACAAGAAATAATTGTTGCATATGGGTTGTTTTCTTAAGGGAGAGGAAAGTGGGTTAGAAGATTAATGGAGTTCAATAAAGAATGGTGAAGGAAACCCTGTTAGGCTCCATAAAGAAATGAAACTCACAGGTGTGTCTACTAGCAGGTTAGTAACAGTAAACATCCAACCACAGATAAAAGACAAAGGTTTAGCTCAAAGGATATTTAACGAGGACATAATTGGCCGGCTTAAGACAAATCTATCCCATGCTTTGGAGAATTTTTCTAGTAAAAATTCTTAAAGTTACTATAGATATTGCTTTTCTTTCAATTTACGGAAACCCACTTTTAAATTGTTTTTTTAAATTTACTCATTACTTTATCTCATACTGCATATAAACAGAATTACCTTAGAAAAAATTACTAACTTCCTAATTACAACACATTAATATGCAAACAAACCAATAATCAAAAGTATTACCAGCTCAAAAGGACTAGGACATTATTCACTGCAATTAGATTTCTCAAAACTGCAAGCAGTCTAAAAATCTCAGTTAATCGTGGGTAATTCCTCAATAAACACTACTATCACAGCCAATGTGGCTTTACTTAGTGTTTGCTTCGCTTGTTAGCTATTTACCCTTGTTTTTAAAAAGGTTTTAGGCTGCTTGCAGGTCCAGTCTGACTCTTGCAGCGAATTACTCCTTTCCAGTATCAGACAATGATGAAAAATTAGTTTCTGCTGTTATGATGATTGCCACAGTCTCAGAGTAGGATTATTAACATATGACAGCTCCTATACAGTAAATAGGTTATTTATGAGAATATCAAAGTGTGTGTAAACACCTTGCAAAACTTCTGTTGACATACTCATGTTGATGCTGTCAAGTTATTTTAATATTGGGACGACACATTTTGATTACTGGACAGGATATGAGATCGCCTGAAACTTACAGGTTGGAACTTAACTTTAAAGACAGTGATACAAACCCTTTGTTGTGGCCATTTATGTAAAACTTTTGTAAATCACAAGTTCCTTTTAGATTTCTGTTTAGTTTTATTTTGTTGACAGAATATATTTAAGATTGTTTGAAACCAAAATCTATCATTTTATATATTTAGAATTGTTTTGATTACTTTGGTCAATTTTAGACCCGCCCATTAATTTAAAAGCTAAGGAACACAAGGCAGGGGCAGGGAGATGGTTATTTGGTTGTTGTTCAAATGTCTGTTGTGAGGACAGTAGGTGGAATAAAGATTTTTTGACCACTTTTGATCATTTACCTTTTTTGAAGGCTGTATATTATATAAGCTGTAAGATATTTTTAGTTATATCATGAATTTTGTTGCGTTACTCTGCTGAAAATAAACAACATATATTTTTCCAAGTCAGAAGAGTGTATATGAAACCTGTTGCCACCAACAGCCTTCAGGAAAATGTTTTTTTTTAGCACAGAAGGCCACGACACCGATATATGTTAACACACTGTACCCTGTTCAATGGTTATATCAAGGAAGAATCTCTCTGTGCAAACTTAAATAAACCACCTGGTGATGATCTGGATTTTAATATGAGGATTATTTTGGCTAATCCAAACGTATCTCCTGATAGTGGATAATAACTTATAATCCTCCTTATAAATGACTGCCTCATGTTGAGGACAAGACAATTAACCTTCAGAGGCCAGTGTGATGTAAAAGGGCTGCCATCTAGTGTCAAAAATAAGCACACAGTTCCACTAAATGTATTTTTCTTCTTCTTCTTGTCATTTATTTATTTAAAGTTGGTCACTGTAACCTTTTCTAGTTTCATATTCTTGTTCTGTATTTTTTTTAGCACAAAATAAAAATTCTAACTAATACCCACCACCTTCTTTCTCTGTTTGTTTTTCTCTTTTTTACTGTATAAAATACAGTACAGTCAGACATGCAATTCTATCAAATTCAGTTTAAACAAGTCCTCTATAGGATGGAGGTCAAAGCTTTTCCATTGGCTACTCCAAAACTTTCCCTTGGCTTCTTTAAATCCACTTTGAAACTAATTGGGCTTACAGCTTTGGGTCAGGGCTTTATAGCGGCACAGTTCTTAGTACTCTTGCCTTACAGCAAAAATGTGCCGGTGTGATTTTTGGCCTTGGGTTATTCAGTATGAAATTTCTCTTTGGGTAATTTCATATCTCTCCTGTCCAAAAAAACGAACATGCCTGTAAGTTCAACTGGTCTCTGAATGTCCTTTGGTTTCGCCCACTGACCACTGGGGACAATATAGAAACAATTCAAGTTTAGTTCTATTGCACCACATGCAATGTCCCAAGAAATTATAGTATCTGTCCCAATACAGAGGTAAAAAAAAAACTATTTCGGCTGTATTTTTTGTTTTTTAAGAAATGCCATCTTTCTCTCAAAGGCCCATTGTAAAATATTTTCTTATGCAATGTATGTAAATATTTGGCTTCAGCTATGTCTCACATGGGCTATACACCAGCTTCTGTATATTTCTGTACCACATTAAGTAACAAATAAGATATTGTCTGTTTTTCTGTCCATCACATCTTAAAGTAACCTGCAGCAGTATAAACTGTACATCCTGAAGGAACATGTTGTTTAGACAAAGCTAAGCAGTTAAGCCTCAACTGTAGCCTCCCAAGGATTTACTGAAAAAAATCCCTCCTGTCGTCAGACGAGATTAACATCCACATTATTTAGAATGAGATTATAATCAAACAAACCCCATAATGACTGATAGTTTAAGATAATATTGTACAGATTCATGCGCAAAAGTTCTTGGACCACTCAGTTTTTCAAGAATAAACCCTGCCTCTCATTCAGTGGCTGCAGTTGCGCCCCACCCTGCACCGATAAAGCATAGATTTCTAAAGCACTTATGGATTGTCTCCTGCAAGCTGCTCCTGCAATTTTAGAGTTTATAGCTATTAGACAAAGCAATTAGCCATTTTAAAAAGAGGCCCTTGTTGAACCAGTTGGCAAGGGTTAAGGCATAATCTGTGCAAGCAATAATAAAATTCTTACTGTACCGTCATTTTTATGGTCAATCAGGGTGTATTTTAAATGGCTTCTCGTTTTTTACGTCCAGTCAGAGCACACTGCATCTCAGCCAAGACTTAAGCTGCTCTGAGGTAATCGACCTGTCTCTGCTGTGTGTATGGGGTATGGCTCACCAGCTAAATTAACCCTGTTAGTCATGGGTGTACAAAAGTATACAAATTAGGAATTCACAATATTCTGAATGGTATATACCCATTTATATGGAATCCCTTACAAAAGTAAATTTATCAGAAAAAGTCTGACATAACTGCAAACCTACCTAAATAAAGGCCCAAAGCATAAACAGTGAGACTGACAAAAGTCTTTGGCTCCTTTGGATGAGCTGCAGGGGTACAGATGGGAGAATATGTTGGAAAGACAATCACTAATTGAGCACTTTAAAGGGTTAACCTCTATACAAGAGTGGCAAGATAAAAGTCATTGTGGAAGGAAAGCCATAATAAGTCTTATTTTATTTTGAGGGAAAAGTGTAAATGCACATGTTAACATATTTGGACTGTCAGAAGAAACAATAAAACTTTAATCATCTACTGAGTACAGAAACCTTTGCTGCACCCAGATTTTGGCTCCACCCAGTGGACAAAAGCTGTATTGTTTTGCCTGAAGAAAGACCACATTTCCCATGAGGACCAGTGCATAGCCTGGTAAAATCCTAATCTCCCGCTTCCAACGGTGGAATTTAACTACATTTCTGTTTCAAGTGGCTGTGTGAAAGATGAATAGCGATGAGGAATCTAATTGTGGCGACATGATGTCAGGTGACATTTATCACTAGTAGAATTGATTACTGCACCAGTGTCTTCATAGGTTTGCCTAAAAAAATCACCAGACAGCTGCAGCTGATCCAAAACTCTGCTGCCAGTGTTCTCACCAGAACCTGGAAAGTAGAACACATCAGCCTGGTTCTGAAGCTCACAGAATATACTTTAAAATCCTTCTGTTAGTCTATAAGTCACTGAATGGATCAGCACTTCAGTACATAACAGATTTCTTATTAGTGTATCAACTTCCCGGAAAATCTCTGGTCTTCTATTTTAAGCCTACACTGTAGACCGAGAACTAGATCCAAACATGGAGGAGCAGCATTTAGTCCCTATGCTCCACTGATCTGTAACAAACTTCCAGAAGACTGTTAAAGTCTATAGCCAAAGTAAAAAACAACAACATTTGTTTAGAACTGGCTTTGACTGTTGAAGTTAGACTCTTAACTGAGGTACTATTATAAGTTTTTTTTTTTTTACTATTATAAGGGTTTTTTATCCTTGGTTTCTTTTTTCTTCTTTTATTTTTATCCTATTTTATAATCTAATTCATGTAAAGCACATCTGAATTGTCCATTTACTGACCAATGCTATACAAATAAACTTGCCTTGCCTTGATGTTGTTGAAAATAACAATTATTTAACTTTTGGTTTTGTACCGTTTTCGTATTCCTGATCCTCCACTCTCCTCCACCTCAACCGACTCATCAGCGACTGATGTCCTGACAAGTTTAGAGCCTTGAAACAGATAAATATAATGTTATGTTTGATGATTTAACATTAAAATGTCCCATAGATCCCAGAAGTAAGTAAAAATCCCAGGAGGAAGGTGTAGAATTGCCTGGATATAAACCCCACACAATTTGCATGAGTACAGCCTCAGGCTGTTTCCGAACATCCGCACTACCCCCTAAATCCCTCGATCACTATATAGAGCAGGGACTGTTAGATTTCCTTGCTACAATTGATCAGATCTATAACAATATTATTTTAGAAAGGGTTGAATCTGCTTGACAAATTAAGGTAATATAACTAGGACGGTTTAAATTGTATTTGTTCAACATATTTCAGTTTTGTGCTGTTACTGATAGATTTTCTTAAAGCTCCAGAGTTTTTTGTGGAGTACCAGAGGGATCAGTGTTTGGGCCAGTTCTCTTCGCTATATGCCTCCAAAAGGTAAAATGATCAGATAGCATGGGACTAATTTCTACTTGTGATGCTTAGGTCTATCCATTAACAAATCCTGATAAAGGCAACCCTTTAGACAGACAAGCAACATCTCAAGGAGATCAAAAACTGGATCTGTTTAGCTTTGACACCATCCTGGAGGGAGGCATCAGCTTTGCTACTGCCTTCATTAGTTGCAATTATAGATGTGGGCCTGTTTTTTAGTGTTTTATTCCCTTTTCTCTCCTAGAAATAGATATGCGTTCATCTTCTTCTGTGAGTGACTGTGCTTTTTTTCATCCTTTTTGGGAGGGGATGGGTTAAATGCAGAGGTAAATTTCTCCAATGTGAGATCAATAAATTTCATTTATTATTATTATTAAGTTATCTGAGATGACATTTGTAGTAAATTGTTACTACATAAATATTTGCTTTTCTTTCTTACACTTGTGCAAATTTTTGGACTCCAAAATAAATGTATGCAAGACACATCATGGTTTATATTTGTAACATGAACAACAAAAGACAAAATTCAAAACATCCTTTCAATAGGTAATGTATAAATCAGAAGAAATTGTAATTTTTATATTTAGTCATGTTTTTACTCTTTACTTTTACTCTTTAGTCTAACAATGATTTTTCAAAGTTATTTCACATTATATTTTATAAAACGGCAACAGATCCCTACAATTAAATAAATCTAGCTAAAAGAAATGATGAATGCACACTGAAGAGCATTTATACCAAAGTGTGTATAGAAATAGAAGGTCAATCTTTTTTCTAACTAACTTAATCTATGGCTCTTAAGGATGTCATCCATTCCTGCAGGTAAAAACTGAAGCAGAAAGTGAAATACTGAGAACAGAATCAGCTTAATAGAAGTAATCTGACTTAGTGAGAACAGCTGAGCAGTGTTGCACCTCACTGCCTCTGCATAGAAACAGTAAGTGCATGTCTCTTCCCTGGCTCCCTAACATCCATCCGCAGCCTCCTGTAGGTTTTCACACTTTGGACTTCATTAACGGGAGAACTGGAGGAGAACTGACTACTGTTTTCTACACAGAAGCACTGCGAGTCACAACAACAAAGCCTGGCTGTACATAAATCAGATAAACTCCCTTAAACATTTTATCAAAGAAATCCAAATTAACCACTAAATGATTGTTTTGATCCATTATAGAACCTGCTAATATTTCCTATGCAGGTAGGTGTGCTGTAGATGATCTACAGGTTGGAAAGTTTGGTCCATATCTTGATCCTGGGATAGATGTTTAAGTTCTGACATTATGATGGTAGAAATTCACAGAACTGTGATGATGGGTACTTTTCTTCGGAGACTTAGTTGGGGGGGTGTTCCCTTCATCTGGTGGCCTGGCGGTAGACTGAGCTGAGGTCACCTTCATGAACAAAGACAAAAAAAAGAACTAGATTTCTGTACTGTTAGATTAAAAGGTGCTCCTGCTTCATCCTACAGTCCAAAAACATTTCTTAAAGGAATAGTATACCCAAAACATGATTAGCCTTCATTTTCTACTCACCCCCATGCTGAACAACACTCTGGAGTACTTTTTTGATATCTCAAATGCATCTGGAGATCAGGGAGGCTTCTTGCTGTCTGCTGACATTCAAATAATGGAGGTGCCCAGCGCCCGAGGCAGAAAGGTCCATAGAAGTCCACAAAAAACATGTCAATATTCCTCCATACTGCTCGTCCAATGTATTCCAAGTGTCCTGAGTGGGTAGCGTCCATAATTTACTCGAAACAAAGTCATTTAGAATGTTTTTAGAGCATAAACAGTAGTGTATAGGATTTCCTAAAAGCGCGCGCCTGCGAGTTCACGAGCCTACGGAAACCGCGGCAGACCAAACCAGATGAAAGTGCGCATTCAGCTCGGCAAAGAACTCATGCTCTTCCTCAACACTGAAGTCCTCAGACATTTTTCTTTCGTTGTTTCTTTCTTTGCACAGGTAAACAGCACATTTCTTCTTCTACGCTTGCATTATCGGCAGAGCAGACGCTGCATGCGCACTTTCATCTGCCGGCTTCCGTAGGCTCGTGAACGCGCTTTTAGGAAATCCTATACACTACTGTTTATGCTCTAAAAACATTCTAAATGACTTCGTTTCGAGTAAATTATGGACGCTACCCACTCAGGACACTTGGATTACATTGGACGAGCAGTATGGAGGAATATTGACACGTTTTTTGTGGACTTTTATGGACCTTTCTGCCTCGGGCGCTATGGACCTCCATTATTTGAATGTCAGCAGACAGTAAGAAGCCTCCCAGATCTCCAGATGCATTTGAGATATCAAAAAAGTACTCTAGAGTGTTGTTCAGCATGGGGGTGAGTAGAAAATGAAGGCTAATCATGTTTTGGGTGTACTATTCCTTTAAAATCAGTGGCTGTAAATTGCTCTTGGTATGAGTGTATATTCATGGTTATTTTATCTGTGTGTCTTTTTGCTGCCTTTGGGATCAACTGGCAACATGTCCAGAGCACAACCTGAGTCTGACTCCACCCACTCATGACCTGGCAAAGATAAGGAGGCATTGACAACACGTGGATGAACACATTTAAGGGTAACTGATGCTGCCCGCTGTATCGGATCAATAAACATTTTGTGATCCACTTAAAACCTAACTGATAGCAAAAGTATTCTGATTCTAATAGCTGGCCTTATTCGGTGTCTGGTGTATGAAAACACTTTGCAAAAAGAAAAATGAGATTACGGAGAAACCTTGTTAAAGAGTTTCCCTCTTTTTCAGTGAGACTGCACACTGTCTTTTAATACAATTGATTTCCCGTTAAACTTGCTCAAGTGTAACATCCAATCCTAAAACCTCCTATGTCATTTCATTTGGGTTTTAAACAGTAGACAAAAAAAAGGTTGTAGATAATAGTTAAGAAAAGGGAAAATCTATAAAAAAAAAAGACTTTCTTCTTCCAAATCGTCATATTTGCCAAGTACACGACTGATACTTGTCAGTAGATGTTTCCACCTGAGCTTTGGAGCCCAGTTGCTCCTCCAGAGTTACTATTAGC